GAGGAGAGGAGGGGAGAGGGAGGAGGGAGAGGAGGAGGGGAGGAGGAGAGGGAGGAGAGGGGAGGGGAGGGGGAGAGGAGGAGAGAGAGGGTGAGAGGGGAGAGGAGGGAGGGAGAGAGAGGGGGAGAGGGGAGAGGGGAGGAGAGAGGAGAGAGGAGAGGGGAGGGGGAGGAGAGGAGGAGAGAGGGAGAGGAGAGAGGGGAGAGGGAGGGGAGAGAGGGGGAGGAGGAGGGGGAGAGGGGAGGAGGGAGGGGGGAGGGGGAGGGAGGGAGGAGAGAGGGAGAGGAGGGGAGAGAGAGGGGAGGGGGGAGGGGAGGAGGGGAGAGGGAGGAGGGGAGGAGGGAGGAGAGGGGGAGAGGAGAGGGGGAGAGGGGGAGGAGGGAGGGGGGGAGAGAGGGGGAGAGGGAGGGAGGAGGGGTGAGGAGAGGGGAGGGGAGGGGAGAGAGAGGAGGAGAGAGGGGGAGGAGGGGAGAGGGGGAGGGGAGGGAGAGGGGAGGAGGGGAGAGGAGGGAGGGAGGGGAGGAGGAGGGGAGAGAGAGGGGAGGAGGAGAGGAGGGTGAGGGGGAGGGAGGGGGAGGGAGAGGGAGAGGGAGGAGGGAGAGGGGGAGAGGGGGAGGAGGAGAGTGGGAGAGAGAGGAGTGAGAGGGAGGTGGGTAAGGGTGTGGAGAGGGGTGAGAGGGGGAGGAGAGGAGAGGTGAGAGAGAGTGGGGTGAGAGGGATGGGAGGAGTGGGAGAGAGAAGGGTGGAGAGGGGGAGAGAATGAGGGGAGGAGTGGAGAGGTGGAGAGGGAGGGAGAGGGAGAGAGGTGGGGAGGGAGAGGGAGAGTGGTGGAGAGAGGAGGGATGAGAGGGAGGTGAGAGGAGGGAGGAGGGGTGAGAGGTGCGAGTGGGTGAGGAGAGAGTGGAGGAGGAGAGGGTGAGAGGGAGTGGGTGAGAGAGGAGGGAGGAGGAGGGAGTGGGGGTGGGGAGAGAGGGGAGAGGGTGAGAGGGGGAGAGGAGAGGGTGAGAGGAGAGAGGGAGGAGGGAGTGGAGGGAGAGGAGTGGGAGAGAGTGAGAGGGGTGAGGGAGAGGGTGAGGAGAGGTGGGGAGAGGGGAGTGGGTAAGAGTGGGAGAGAGAGGGTGAGAGGGGGAGAGAGAGGGTGAGAGGGAGTGGGTGAGAGAGAGGGAGAGAGAGGGTGAGAGGGAGTGGGTGAGAGAGAGGGAGAGAGAGGGTGAGAGGGAGTGGGTGAGAGAGAGGGAGAGAGAGGGTGAGAGGGAGTGGGTGAGAGAGAGGGAGAGAGAGGGTGAAAGTGGGAGAGAGAGGGTGAGAGAGAGGGTGAGAGAGAGAGGGTAAGAGTGGGAGAGAGAGGGTGAGAGTGGGAGAGAGAGGGTGAGAGGGAGTGGGTGAGAGAGAGAGGGTGAGAGTGGGAGAGAGAGGGTGAGAGAGAGAGGGTGGGAGAGAGAGGGTGAGAGGGAGTGGGTGAGAAAGAGAGGGTGAGAGAGAGAGGGTGAGAGTGGGAGAGAGAGGGTGAGAGAGAGAGGGTGGGAGAGAGAGGGTGAGAGGGAGTGGGTGAGAAAGAGAGGGTGAGAGTGGGAGAGAGAGGGTGAGAGGGAGTGAGTGAGAGTGGGTGAGAGTGGGAGAGAGGGAGTGAGAGGGAGTGGGTGAGAGAGAGAGGGTGAGAGTGGGAGAGAGAGGGTGAGAGAGAGGGTGAGAGAGAGAGGGTGAGAGAGGGAGAGAGAGGGTGAGAGGGAGTGGGTGAGAGAGAGAGGGTGAGAGTGGGAGAGAGAGGGTGAGAGGGAGTGGGTGAGAGAGGGAGAGAGAGGGTGAGAGTGGGAGAGAGAGGGTGAGAGGGAGTGGGTGAGAGAGAGAGGGTGAGAGAGGGAGAGAGAGGGTGAGAGAGAGTGGGTGAGAGAGGGAGAGAGAGGGTGAGAGAGGGAGAGAGAGGGTGAGAGTGGGAGAGAGGGAGTGAGAGGGAGTGGGTGAGAGAGGGTGAGAGTGGGAGAGACGGAGTGAGAGGGAGTGGGTGAGAGAGGGTGAGAGTGGGAGAGACGGAGTGAGAGGGAGTGGGTGAGAGAGGGTGAGAGTGGGAGAGACGGAGTGAGAGGGAGTGGGTGAGAGAGAGTGGGAGAGAGAGGGTGAGAGGGAGTGGGTGAGAGAGAGTGGGAGAGAGAGGGTGAGAGGGAGTGGGTGAGAGAGAGAGGGTGAGAGAGGGTGAGAGTGGGAGAGGGTGAGAGGGAGTGGGTGAGAGAGAGAGGGTGAGAGTGGGAGAGAGAGGGTGAGAGAGAGAGAGGGTGAGAGGGAGTGGGTGAGAGAGTGAGGGTGAGAGAGGGTGAGAGTGGGAGAGAGAGGGTGAGAGAGAGAGGGTGAGAGGGAGTGGGTGAGAGAGAGAGGGTGAGAGTGGGAGAGAGAGGGTGAGAGAGAGAGAGGGTGAGAGGGAGTGGGTGAGAGAGTGAGGGTGAGAGGGAAAATCTTATTTTCACAAAAGTCTAAAACGGTGACATCACTTCTGTTGTTGGTCTTCAGAGCGAGACGTTCTGTGGCGCTTCTCAACCTGTGGGCCGTGAGTCCAATCTGCTCCTGGTTAAAGAAAGGAACAAATGTGTGAAAGAAACATTTAAGATAAGAACAGATAAGATAAGAACAGATAAGATAAGAACAGATAAGATAAGAACAGATAAGATAAGATGTGCTTTATTTATCTCCCAGAGGAGAAATGTACATGTCACATTAGGCACGGAGAGAACACTCAGATTGTGCAAAAGGAGGAAATGTGCAAACATGTTACATGCAGGATATATGTGCAATAAAGTGACAATAATTATGTGCAACAAAAGTGACAAGTGTCAATTGGAAACAGTGTCAATAGTAGTGCAGGTTTTCACACAGTGATCATTTAAAGTGACTTATTGTACAGTCTGACAGCAGTGGGGATAAAGGCCCTGCGGTAGCGCTCCTTCCTACACTGAGGGTGTCTCAGTCTTCCACTGAAGGAGCTCCTCAGCTCCTCTACAGAGTCCAGGGGCCTCCTGTCCCTCACCTCCTCCACAGAGTCCAGGGGCCTCCTGTCCCTCACCTCCTCCACAGAGTCCAGGGGCCTCCTGTCCCTCACCTCCTCTACAGAGTCCAGGGGCCTCCTGTCCCTCACCTCCTCCACAGAGTCCAGGGGCCTCCTGTCCCTCAGCTCCTCTACAGAGTCCAGGGGCCTCCTGTCCCTCACCTCCTCTACAGAGTCCAGGGGCCTCCTGTCCCTCACCTCCTCCACAGAGTCCAGGGGCCTCCTGTCCCTCACCTCATCTACAGAGTCCAGGGGCCTCCTGTCCCTCACCTCCTCCACAGAGTCCAGGGGCCTCCTGTCCCTCACCTCCTCCACAGAGTCCAGGGGCCTCCTGTCCCTCACCTCCTCCACAGAGTCCAGGGGCCTCCTGTCCCTCACCTCCTCCACAGAGTCCAGGGGCCTCCTGTCCCTCACCTCCTCCACAGAGTCCAGGGGCCTCCTGTCCCTCACCTCCTCCACAGAGTCCAGGGGCCTCCTGTCCCTCACCTCCTCACAGAGTCCAGGGGCCTCCTGTCCCTCACCTCCTCCACAGAGTCCAGGGGCCTCCTGTCCCTCACCTCCTCCACAGAGTCCAGGGGCCTCCTGTCCCTCTCCTCCTCCACAGAGTCCAGGGGCCTCCTGTCCCTCACCTCCTCCACAGAGTCCAGGGGCCTCCTGTCCCTCACCTCCTCCACAGAGTCCAGGGGCCTCCTGTCCCTCACCTCCTCCACAGAGTCCAGGGGCCTCCTGTCCCTCACCTCCTCCACAGAGTCCAGGGGCCTCCTGTCCCTCTCCTCCTCCACAGAGTCCAGGGGCCTCCTGTCCCTCACCTCCTCCACAGAGTCCAGGGGCCTCCTGTCCCTCACCTCCTCCACAGAGTCCAGGGGCCTCCTGTCCCTCAGCTCCTCTACAGAGTCCAGGGGCCTCCTGTCCCTCACCTCCTCCACAGAGTCCAGGGGCCTCCTGTCCCTCACCTCCTCCACAGAGTCCAGGGGCCTCCTGTCCCTCACCTCCTCCACAGAGTCCAGGGGCCTCCTGTCCCTCACCTCCTCCACAGAGTCCAGGGGCCTCCTGTCCCTCACCTCCTCTACAGAGTCCAGGGGCCTCCTGTCCCTCACCTCCTCTACAGAGTCCAGGGGCCTCCTGTCCCTCACCTCCTCCACAGAGTCCAGGGGCCTCCTGTCCCTCACCTCCTCCACAGAGTCCAGGGGCCTCCTGTCCCTCACCTCCTCCACAGAGTCCAGGGGCCTCCTGTCCCTCACCTCCTCCACAGAGTCCAGGGGCCTCCTGTCCCTCACCTCCTCACAGAGTCCAGGGGCCTCCTGTCCCTCACCTCCTCCACAGAGTCCAGGGGCCTCCTGTCCCTCACCTCCTCCACAGAGTCCAGGGGCCTCCTGTCCCTCACCTCGTCCACAGAGTCCAGGGGCCTCCTGTCCCTCACCTCCTCCACAGAGTCCAGGGGCCACTTGTCCCTCACCTCCTCCACAGAGTCCAGGGGCCTCCTGTCCCTCACCTCCTCCACAGAGTCCAGGGGCCTCCTGTCCCTCACCTCCTCCACAGAGTCCAGGGGCCTCCTGTCCCTCACCTCCTCCACAGAGTCCAGGGGCCTCCTGTCCCTCACCTCCTCCACAGAGTCCAGGGGCCACCTGTCCCTCACCTCCTCCACAGAGTCCAGGGGCCTCCTGTCCCTCACCTCCTCCACAGAGTCCAGGGGCCTCCTGTCCCTCACCTCCTCCACAGAGTCCAGGGGCCTCCTGTCCCTCACCTCCTCCACAGAGTCCAGGGGCCTCCTGTCCCTCACCTCCTCCACAGAGTCCAGGGGCCTCCTGTCCCTCACCTCCTCCACAGAGTCCAGGGGCCTCCTGTCCCTCACCTCCTCCACAGTCCTGTGCAGTGGGAGGTGGCTTTGGCTAGCGTTGTTTATTTGTTTAAATAAATTTGGATCTGAAACTTTCTGTTTCTGTAAAGATCAAACTGTTTAAATCCTTTAGACGCCGCTCTCCGTCATGTGACATCACTTTGGCCTCTGTGGCTCTTTCAAAATGGCCGACTTCTGGAGCATTCTGTGAAGACCATGGATCTATTATAATACCTGGATAGGGCGTTACAGCTTGGAGCTGAGGAACCATGTGCTCAGGGGATTCTCACGGTACTGCAGACTAAACCAGACTTAACCAGACTAAACCTGACTAAACCAGACTAAACCAGACTAAACCAGACTAAACCAGACTTAACCAGACTACCCCTGACTAAACCAGACTAAACCAGACTAAACCAGACTTAACCAGACTACCCCTGACTAAACCAGACTAAACCAGACTAAACCAGACTTAACCAGACTACCCCTGACTAAACCAGACTAAACCAGACTGTAAATATTAACGGACAGAGTCGTGCCTATCTCCGCCGTTCTAACTAATGGGTTAATTTTCCCCATAGAACTCAATGTATATTAAAACAGCTCGACCTCAGCTGACAGAGAACCTGACAGAGAACCTACAGAGAACCTGACAGAGAACCTGACAGAGAACCTGACAGAGAACCTGACAGAGAACCTGACAGAGAACCAACAGAGAACCTGACAGAGAACCTACAGAGAACCTGACAGAGAACCTGACAGAGAACCTGACAGAGAACCTACAGAGAACCTACAAAGAACCTGACAGAGAACCTGACAGAGAACCTGACAGAGAACCTACAGAGAACCTGACAGAGAACCTGACAGAGAACCTGACAGAGAACCTGACAGAGAACCTACAGAAAACCTACAGAGAACCTACAGAGAACCTGACAGAGAACCTGACAGAGAACCTACAGAAAACCTGACAGAGAACCTACAGAGAACCTGACAGAGAACCTGACAGAGAACCTACAGAGAACCTGACAGAGAACCTACAGAGAACCTGACAGAGAACCTACAGAGAACCTGACAGAGAACCTACAGAGAACCTACAGAGAACCTGACAGAGAACCTGACAGAGAACCTGACAGAGAACATGACAGAGAACCTACAGAGAACCTGACAGAGAACCTGACAGAGAACCTACAGAGAACCTACAGAGAACCTGACAGAGAACCTGACAGAGAACCTACAGAGAACCTGACAGAGAACCTACAGAGAACATGACAGAGAACCTACAGAGAACCTGACAGAGAACCTGACAGAGAACCTGACAGAGAACCTACAGAGAACCTACAGAGAACCTACAGAGAACCTGACAGAGAACCTGACAGAGAACCTACAGAAAACCTGACAGAGAACCTGACAGAGAACCTGACAGAGAACCTGACAGAGAACCTACAGAGAACCAACAGAGAACCTGACAGAGAACCTGACAGAGAACCTGACAGAGAACCTGACAGAGAACCTACAGAGAACCTGACAGAGAACCTACAGAGAACCTGACAGAGAACCTGACAGAGAACCTACAGAGAACCTGACAGAGAACCTGACAGAGAACCTACAGAGAACCTGACAGAGAACCTACAGAGAACCCGACAGAGAACCCGACAGAGAACCTGACAGAGAACCTACAGAGAACCTGACAGCTTTAATAAAGGTCAGATTTTGTGGGGATTTTAGTGTCCCTTGTCGTCCTGAACTTTTTTTCTTCTTAAATCCTTGTTGTTTGTTTGTTTAAATCCACACTTTAGTGCCACAAACTCTGCTCCTCTGGCTCTCGCTTTAACTCTCGCTCTGATGAGCAGCTCTGATTGGTCAGAGCGCGGCCGAGCCCCTCTGTGCACGTTAGTGATGTAAAGTTCGATTCATTTTACTGACTCGAGTTAAAGTGAATCACTCACCAAAGTGAATCGGGTGTTTTGAGTCATTTGATTCAGTGATTCAGTTGTTCAGAAAAAAACATACATGAACACAAAATAATGCTAAAATGGCAATTTACAATCAAAACATTTATTAAAATTTGATAAATGGTAACAATAACAAATATGTAAACTAATTTGACAAAATATAAACTCTTTAAATTTAACAATTCAACAGTAAAATTGTGAACAAAACCTTAAACAACCTTGCAGAGTTGACATTTTGCTCGTGATGGGCCTGTTATTTCAAAGTGCATCCAAATATCGCTTCTTCTGCGGCTACTATCCATTTTCTATAAAAATATTTAAAACTTTCCGCCAAAAATGTGGTGTTACATAAATGTATTCCGTGTTAAAACCTACATTCCTGGTAAAAAAAAAAAAGGTTATAACAATTATATTATATAAATAATAAATACAAACAACTTTGATATTTTTCACACATTCATTTTTTATTGATGACAATCATTGTAACGCCAATAATGTTCGAGGCGGAACTCCTGTTGTCCGACGAGAGAAACACAGCTGAACAAATAACTTCATAAATAGCCAATTATATTTTTCAATCTACCTCACATAATACATGTAGAGGGTTATTATTTTTTGTCAGATGGGGCAAAAGAAACTACTTTTTTCAACCCAGTTAGAGAACGAGAGTTACGAGACGAGTCGGTGTCCTGTCCTGTTGTTTGGACTCGCTTGATGCTGAGTGAGTGAGTCAGATCAGATGAACGATTCGTTCAGAGCTGAACGACTCGAAGGGGAGCGGGAAGGGGCTGATCCAGAACCACAGTGAGTCGTTCACTGCTCGTACGGCGCGGGCAGGAAGGAGGACGTTACGGTGAAGTAGATGGTTGTAAACAATAAGCTTTTGGTTTCTGTGCTCAAACGAGCTACAGTACACACACACACAGTCACACACGTAATATTAGAGTGTCATTCATTGTGGCTAGTAGAAAACGCAGTCTGGGGGTCGCAGTTTAGAAAGTAGTGGGCGGACGAGTTAGTGAACGAGTTAATGGAGGCGGGGAATCACGACTCCCGAGTCAGTAAAGTGAATCTCGAGTTTTGAACGATTCGTTCACGAATCGCACATCACTAGTGCACGTGCGTGAGACCCGGTGTTTGACCCACACACGCGTGTTTGACGCATTGCATTATGGGAGATCATCCACTGCACAGAACCGGGAGGACCAGACGATGCCCAAATACAGGCGACTTCCTCTGATCTGTCAGCGCCCGAGCCGGCACAAAGCGCCGCTGAGCACAACCGTTCATTTGAACACGGCGCCATCTTGGATCGCCGAGGCTTTTGGGAAAACGTTTAGGAGACAAGAAGACACGAACATTAGCATCGAATCATTCTGGTCCTGGGTCCACCCCACAGGCCCGGTGACCTCTGACCTCTGCAGGGATTGAGGAGTCTGAGCAGAATCTGATGTTAGTCTGATGTTACCATGGGAGACCCTACCAGGAGCATGAAGACCTGTGTACCATGGGAGACCCTACCAGGAGCATGAAGACCTGTGTACCATGGGAGACCCTACCAGGGGCATGAAGACCTGTGTACCATGGGAGACCCTACCAGGAGCATGAAGACCTGTGTACCATGGGAGACCCTACCAGGGGCATGAAGACCTGTGTACCATGGGAGACCCTACCAGGAGCATGAAGACCTGTGTACCATGGGAGACCCTACCAGGAGCATGAAGACCTGTGTACCATGGGAGACCCTACCAGGAGCATGAAGACCTGTGTACCATGGGAGACCCTACCAGGAGCATGAAGACCTGTGTACCATGGGAGACCCTACCAGGGGCATGAAGACCTGTTCTGGGCACGTCCCACCAGGAGGAGACCCCGGGGAAGACCCAGGACACAGAGGGACTGTGTCTCTCTCTGGGACCCTGGGAACGCCTTGGGTCGGACGAGCTGGAGCAGCTCAGACTGCTGCCCCTGCGACCCGGCAACGGATGAAGCGGAAGAAAATGGATGGATGTTTTTTCAAAGACTCTTAACAGAACCCTCTCCGGACCTCTGAACAGAACCCTCTCCGGACCTCTGAACAGAACCCTCTCCGGACCTCTGAACAGAACCCTCTCCCTCTCCGGACCTCTGAACAGAACCCTCTCCGGACCTCTGAACAGAACCCTCTCCCTCTCCGGACCTCTGAACAGAACCCTTTCCGGACCTCTGAACAGAACCCCCTCCGGACCTCTGAACAGAACCCTTTCCGGACCTCTGAACAGAACCCCCTCCGGACCTCTGAACAGAACCCTCTCCCTCTCCGGACCTCTGAACAGAACCCTCTCCGGACCTCTGAACAGAACCCTCTCCCTCTCCGGACCTCTGAACAGAACCCTTTTCGGACCTCTGAACAGAACCCTCTCCGGACCTCTGAACAGAACCCTCTCCCTCTCCGGACCTCTGAACAGAACCCTTTCCGGACCTCTGAACAGAACCCTCTCCGGACCTCTGAACAGAACCCTCTCCCTCTCCGGACCTCTGAACAGAACCCTTTCCGGACCTCTGAACAGAACCCTCTCCGGACCTCTGAACAGAACCCTCTCCGGACCTCTGAACAGAACCCTCTCCCTCTCCGGACCTCTGAACAGAACCCTTTCCGGACCTCTGAACAGAACCCTCTCCCTCTCCGGACCTCTGAACAGAACCCTTTCCGGACCTCTGAACAGAACCCTCTCCGGACCTCTGAACAGAACCCTCTCCGGACCTCTGAACAGAACCCTCTCCCTCTCCGGACCTCTGAACAGAACCCTTTCCGGACCTCTGAACAGAACCCTCTCCGGACCTCTGAACAGAACCCTCTTCCTCTCCGGACCTCTGAACAGAACCCTTTCCGGACCTCTGAACAGAACCCTCTCCGGACCTCTGAACAGAACCCTCTCCCTCTCCGGACCTCTGAACAGAACCCTTTCCGGACCTCTGAACAGAACCCTCTCCGGACCTCTGAACAGAACCCTCTCCCTCTCCGGACCTCTGAACAGAACCCTTTCCGGACCTCTGAACAGAACCCTCTCCGGACCTCTGAACAGAACCCTCTCCCTCTCCGGACCTCTGAACAGAACCCTTTCCGGACCTCTGAACAGAACCCTCTCCGGACCTCTGAACAGAACCCTCTCCGGACCTCTGAACAGAACCCTCTCCCTCTCCGGACCTCTGAACAGAACCCTTTCCGGACCTCTGAACAGAACCCTCTCCGGACCTCTGAACAGAACCCTCTCCGGACCTCTGAACAGAACCCTCTCCCTCTCCGGACCTCTGAACAGAACCCTTTCCGGACCTCTCAACAGAACCCTCTCCGGACCTCTGAACAGAACCCTTTCCGGACCTCTGAACAGAACCCTCTCCGGACCTCTGAACAGAACCCTCTCCGGACCTCTGAACAGAACCCTCTCCCTCTCCGGACCTCTGAACAGAACCCTTTCCGGACCTCTGAACAGAACCCTCTCCGGACCTCTGAACAGAACCCTCTCCGGACCTCTGAACAGAACCCTCTCCCTCTCCGGACCTCTGAACAGAACCCTTTCCGGACCTCTGAACAGAACCCTCTCCGGACCTCTGAACAGAACCTTTTCCGGACCTCTGAACAGAACCCTCTCCGGACCTCTGAACAGAACCCTCTCCGGACCTCTGAACAGAACCCTCTCCCTCACCGGACCTCTGAACAGAACCCTCTCCGGACCTCTGAACAGAACCCTCTCCGGACCTCTGAACAGAACCCTCTCCCTCTCCGGACCTCTGAACAGAACCCTTTCCGGACCTCTGAACAGAACCCTCTCCGGACCTCTGAACAGAACCCTCTCCGGACCTCTGAACAGAACCCTCTCCGGACCTCTGTGGCCCTGAGCTCAGAGGGGTCTGAGTTTGTATGTACTTATATATATATTTATATATATAAGCTTACTTACTACTTACTTACTACTACTATATATTTGTATGTATATTTATATATTTATATACTTATATACTTATATATTTATATATTTATATATTTATATACTTATATACTTATATACTTATATATTTATATATTTATATATATATTTATGTATTAATTTATATATTTATTTAGAATAAACATTTGAATCTTTCCTGATTTAATTCTCTAAAGTTACATCTCTGTGGTTGGAGCAGTGTGCGTCTGTGGTCTTAGAAGCACGGCTAACCAGTCCAAGTTAAAGCCTTGACTTTGGCATCCATGCCCCAGAGAGGTCTCTCTCAGGTCTCATTCAGGTCTCCTTCTGGTCTCAGGTCTCATTCAGGTCTCCTTCTGGTCTCAGGTCTCCTTCAGGTCTCCTTCTGGTCTCAGGTCTCATTCAGGTCTCCTTCTGGTCTCAGGTCTCATTCAGGTCTCCTTCTGGTCTCAGGTCTCATTCAGGTCTCCTTCTGGTCTCAGGTCTCATTCAGGTCTCCTTCTGGTCTCAGGTCTCATTCAGGTCTCCTTCTGGTCTCAGGTCTCATTCAGGTCTCCTTCTGGTCTCAGGTCTCCTTCTGGTCTCAGGTCTCATTCAGGTCTCCTTCTGGTCTCAGGTCTCATTCAGGTCTCCTTCTGGTCTCAGGTCTCGTTCAGGTCTCCTTCTGGTCTCAGGTCTCGTTCAGGTCTCCTTCTGGTCTCAGGTCTCCTTCAGGTCTCCTTCTGGTCTCAGGTCTCGTTCAGGTCTCCTTCTGGTCTCAGGTCTCGTTCAGGTCTCCTTCTGGTCTCAGGTCTCCTTCAGGTCTCCTTCTGGTCTCAGGTCTCGTTCAGGTCTCCTTCTGGTCTCAGGTCTCCTTCAGGTCTCCTTCTGGTCTCAGGTCTCCTTCTGGTCTCCTTCTGGTCTCAGGTCTCATTCAGGTCTCCTTCTGGTCTCAGGTCTCCTTCAGGTCTCCTTCTGGTCTCAGGTCTCATTCAGGTCTCCTTCTGGTCTCAGGTCTCATTCAGGTCTCCTTCTGGTCTCAGGTCTCATTCAGGTCTCCTTCTGGTCTCAGGTCTCATTCAGGTCTCCTTCTGGTCTCAGGTCTCGTTCAGGTCTCCTTCTGGTCTCAGGTCTCCTTCAGGTCTCCTTCTGGTCTCAGGTCTCGTTCAGGTCTCCTTCTGGTCTCAGGTCTCCTTCAGGTCTCCTTCTGGTCTCAGGTCTCGTTCAGGTCTCCTTCTGGTCTCAGGTCTCGTTCAGGTCTCCTTCTGGTCTCAGGTCTCCTTCAGGTCTCCTTCTGGTCTCAGGTCTCCTTCTGGTCTCCTTCTGGTCTCAGGTCTCCTTCAGGTCTCCTTCTGGTCTCAGGTCTCCTTCTGGTCTCCTTCTGGTCTCAGGTCTCCTTCAGGTCTCCTTCTGGTCTCAGGTCTCCTTCTGGTCTCTGGGTGCACACAGTGGGATAAAATGATTAAAGATTTGTTATGAATTAGATCAAAAACAGCTAATATGGTATGGCAGCCCAGAACTTTCCCCAGTTTACCTCAAAGCATTTTATGTCTCCTCCGTCTCCATGGAAACCTGTTTTTTCCCGCCTTTTCCCATCGCTCCAGCGATCACAGCGCGCTTCGCTAGCTGCACATATCCACGCTAGCTTTGATGCTTTTGTTTGCTGTGTGTGTCTGTGTGTGTGTCTGTGTGTGTCTGTGTGTGTGTCTGTGTGTGTCTGTGTGTGTCTGTGTGTGTGTCTGTGTGTGTCTGTGTGTGTCTGTGTGTGTGTCTGTGTGTGTGTGTCTGTTTGTGTCTGTGTGTGTATCTGTGTGTGTCTGTTTGTGTGCCTGTGTGTGTGTCTGTGTCTGTGTGTGTCTGTGTGTGTGTCTGTGTGTGTCTGTGTGTCTGTGTGTCTGTGTGTGTCTGTGTGTGTCTGTGTGTGTGTCTGTGTGTGTCTGTGTGTGTGTCTGTGTGTGTCTGTGTGTGTGTGTGTCTGTGTGTGTGTCTGTGTGTGTCTGTGTGTGTGTCTGTGTGTGTCTGTGTGTGTGTGTCTGTGTGTGCCTGTGTGTGTGTCTGTGTGTGTCTGTGTGTGTGTATGTGTGTGTGTCAGTGTGTGTCTGTGTGTGTGTGTCTGTTTGTGTCTGTGTGTGTGTCTGTGTGTGTCTGTTTGTGTGTCTGTTTGTGTGCCTGTGTGTGTGTCTGTGTGTGTGTATGTGTGTGTGTCAGTGTGTGTCTGTGTGTTTCTGTCTGTGTGTGTGTGTTTGTCTGTATGTGTGTGTGTCTGTGTGTGTGTCTGAGTGTGTCTGAGTGTGTGTGTCTGTGTGTGTTTGTTTCTTGGTGTTCGCTGGGTCCTAGTTGAGCGTTTAGAACAACTATAATCTGCTTTTCTCTGCTGTCTCTGGTCTCTCTCTCTGGTCTCTCTCTGGTCTCTCTCTGGTCTCTCTCTGGTCTCTCTCTGGTCTCTCTATGGTCTCTCTCTGGTCTCTCTCTCTCTGGTCTCTCTCTGGTCTCTCTCTCTCTGGTCTCTCTCTGGTCTCTCTCTGGTCTCTCTCTCTCTGGTCTCTCTCTGGTCTCTCTCTCTCTGGTCTCTCTCTGGTCTCTCTCTCTGGTCTCTCTCTGGTCTCTCTCTGCTCTCTCTCTGGTCTCTCTCTCTGGTCTCTCTCTGGTCTCTCTCTGCTCTCTCTCTGGTCTCTCTCTGGTCTCCCTCTCTGGTCTCCCTCTCTGGTCTCTCTCTCTGATGTCTCTCTCTGGTCTCCCTCTCTGGTCTCTCTCTCTGGTCTCTCTCTGGTCTCTCTCTGGTCTCTCTCTCTGGTCTCTCTCTGGTCTCTCTCTGGTCTCTCTCTGGTCTCTCTCTAGTCTCTCTCTGGTCTCTCTCTGCTCTCTCTATGGTCTCTCTCTGGTCTCTCTCTGGTCTCTCTCTGGTCTCTCTCTGGTCTCTCTCTGGTCTCTCTCGCTGGTCTCTCTCTGGTCTCTCTCTGGTCTCTCTCTGGTCTCTCTCTGGTCTCTCTCTGGTCTCTCTCTGGTCTCTCTCTGGTCTCTCTCTGGTCTCTCTCTGGTCTCTCTCTGGTCTCTCTATGGTCTCTCTCTGGTCTCTCTCTGCTCTCCTTCTGGTCCCTCTCTGGTCTCGTTCTAGTCCCTCTCCCTCTGTTCCCGGGGGCCTTTGTGTGGTGTGTGTCTCGCTGCTCGTCGGGGTCCTGGGGTGAGCGCTTAGAGCGTTTGGAACAACCATAATCTGCTTTTCTCTGGTGTCCGCGGGTCAGGGGCCAGGCCGGCCTCCCCTCCTCCCCCGCCTCCCCCCGCCTCCCCCCTCCTCCCCCTCCGCCCCCCACACCTCCCTTTCACGCTCCTCTTTCTGAGTGGTTTCTGGCTGAACTTTCTCTGCGTTTTTTAATCCGTTCTTTCTGAAAGCTCCGCGCTGCTTCCACTTCCCACTGGTTCCTTGCTTCTTGTTCGGCGGCGGCGGAGACGGCGTGGCGTGACCGCGAAGAGACACGGCCCATTGTGGCGGCACCAGCGACGTGCACATTCAGACGGAGCTGGTCCTTGGTATCTCTGGCACCAGCTGAATGAGTGGCAGCTCAAAGGGACCAGGAATTCCCCAGGAGCCTTTGACCCGTTTTTCCAGTGCGGACCCCGCCTCAGGACCGGGTCTGACTCTGAGATGTTCCCAGAGGCATGAGAGGGACCAGAGTGAGACCAGAGGGAGACCAGGGGAAGACCAGAGAGAGACCAGAGAGAGAGACCAGAGAGAGACCAGAGAGAGACCAGAGAGAGACCAGAGAGACACCAGAAAGAGACCAGAGAGAGACCAGAGAGACACCAGAGAGAGACCAGAGAGAGAGACCAGAGAGAGGCCAGAGAGAGACCAGAGAGAGGCCAGAGAGAGACCAGAGAGAGACCAGAGAGAGACCAGAGAGAGACCAGAGAGAGACCAGAGGGAGACCAGGGGAAGACAAGAGAGAGACCAGAGAGTGACCAGAGAGAGACCAGAGAGAGACCAGAGAGAGACCAGGGGAAGACAAGAGAGAGACCAGAGAGTGACCAGAGAGAGACCAGAGAGAGACCAGAGAGAGACCAGAGAGACACCAGAAAGAGACCAGAGAGAGACCAGAGAGACACCAGAGAGAGACCAGAGAGAGAGACCAGAGAGAGGCCAGAGAGAGACCAGAGAGACACCAGAAAGAGACCAGAGAGAGACCAGAGAGACACCAGAGAGAGACCAGAGAGAGAGACCAGAGAGAGGCCAGAGAGAGACCAGAGAGAGACCAGAGAGAGACCAGAGAGACACCAGACAGAGACCGGAGAGAGACCGGAGAGAGACCAGAGAGAGACCAGACAGAGACCGGAGAGAGACCGGAGAGAGACCGGAGAGAGACCAGAGAGAGACCAGAGAGAGACCAGAGAGAGAGACCAGAGAGAGACCAGAGAGACACCAGACAGAGACCGGAGAGAGACCGGAGAGAGACCGGAGAGAGACCAGAGAGAGACCAGACAGAGACCGGAGAGAGACCGGAGAGAGAGACCAGAGAGAGGCCAGAGAGAGACCAGAGAGAGGCCAGAGAGAGACCAGAGAGAGACCAGAGAGAGACCGGAGAGAGACCGGAGAGAGACCAGAGAGAGACCAGACAGAGACCAGAGAGAGGCCAGAGAGAGACCAGAGAGAGACCAGAGAGAGGCCAGAGAGAGACCAGAGAGAGACCAGAGAGAGACCAGACAGAGACCAGAGAGAGGCCAGAGAGAGACCAGAGAGAGAGACCAGAGAGAGGCCAGAGAGAGACCAGAGAGACACCAGACAGAGACCGGAGAGAGACCGGAGAGAGACCAGAGAGAGACCAGACAGAGACCGGAGAGAGACCGGAGAGAGACCAGAGAGAGACCAGACAGAGACCGGAGAGAGACCGGAGAGAGACCAGAGAGAGACAAGACAAAGACCGGAGAGAGACCAGAGAGAGACCAGAGGGAGACCAGGGGGAGACCAGGGGGAGACCAGAGTGAGACCAGAGGGAGACCGATGCCTAACATAAATATATAAACTAGTTTCAGAACTATAGAAACATGGATGTGTGACATAGTTCATTATCCTTGGTCTGAAAGTCACGTACCTGAGCTTTAAAGTCCTGTGAACCTGAACTGACACAGGCTGCTGTGGTCTGAGCCTGGGTCTGAGAGGAGGGGCCCTCAGACGGGGCCCTCAGACGGGGCCCTCAGAATGTGTGCTTTGTGGAGCCGTGTGCAGCAGATGAGGTCCTCATCAGAGACAGACTCTGATGAGGACCAGGACTTTAAAGCTCGGGGACCTGACTTTAATCCAGAACTCTCTGGTTTATGCCTTTACTACTATTTATATCACTATAGTTTTCATGTGCACATGGTCTCTCTCTGGTCTCACTCTGGTCTCTCTCTGGTCTCTCTCTCTGGTCTCTCTCTGGTCTCTCTCTGGTCTCTCTCTGGTCTCTCTCTCTGGTCTCTCTCGCTGGTCTCTCTCTGGTCTCTCTCTGGTCTCTCTCTGGTCTCTCTCTCTGGTCTCTCTCTGGTCTCTCTCTGGTCTCTCTCTGGTCTCTCTCTCTGGTCTCTCTCTGGTCTCTCTCTGGTCTCTCTCTGGTCTCTCTCGCTGGTCTCTCTCTGGTCTCACTCTGGTCTCTCTCTGGTCTGTCTCTGGTCTCTCTCTCTGGTTTCTCTCTGGTCTCTCTCTGGTCTCTCTCTGGTCTCTGGTCTCTCTCGCTGGTCTCTCTCTGGTCTCTGGTCTCTCTCGCTGGTCTCTCTCTGGTCCCTCTCGCTGGTCTCTCTCTGGTCTCTCTCTGGTCTCTCTCTGGTCTCTCTCTGGTCTTTCTCTGGTCTCTCTCTGGTCTCACTCTGGGTCTCTCTCTGGTTTCTCTCTGGTCTCTCTCTGGTCTCTCTCTGGTCTCTGGTCTCTCTCTGGTCTCTCTCTCTGGTTTCTCTCTGGTCTCTCTCTGGTCTCTCTCTGGTCTCTGGTCTCTCTCTGGTCTCTCTCTCTGGTCTCTCTCTGGTCCTTCTCTGGTCTCTCCATGGTCTCTCTCTGGTCTCTCTCTGGTCTCTGGTCTCTCTCTGGTCTCTCTCTGGCTCTGTCTCTCTCTGGTCTCTCTCTGGCTCTCTCTCTGTTCTCTCTCTGGTCTCTCTCTGGTCTCTCTCTGGTCTCTCTCTGGTCTCTCTCTGGTCTCTCTCTGGTCTCTCTCTGGTCTCTCTCTGGTCTCTCTCTGGTCTCTCTCTGGTTCTCTCTCTGCTCTCTCGCTGGTCTCTCTCTGGTCTCTCTCTGGTCTCTCTCTCTGGTCTGTCCCTGGTCTCTCTCTGGTCTCTCTCTGGTCTCTCTCTGGTCTCTCTCTCTGGTCTCTCTCTGGTCTCTCTCTGGTCTTTCTCTGGTCTCTCTCTGGTCTCTCTCTGGTCTCACTCTGGTCTCTCTCTGGTCTCTCTCTGGTCTCTCTCTGGTCTCTCTCGCTGGTCTCTCTCTGGTCTCACTCTGGTCTCGCTCTCTGGTCTGTCTCTGGTCTCTCTCTGGTCTCTCTCTGGTCTCTGGTCTCTCTCTGGTCTCTCTCGCTGGTCTCTCTCTGGTCTCTCTCGCTGGTCTCTCTCTGGTCTCTCTCTGGTCTCTCTCTGGTCTCTCTCTGGTCTTTCTCTGGTCTCTCTCTGGTCTCTCTCTGGTCTCTCTCTGGTTTCTCTCTGGTCTCTCTCTGGTCTCTGGTCTCTCTCTGGTCTCTCTCTCTGGTTTCTCTCTGGTCTCTCTCTGGTCTCTCTCTGGTCTCTGGTCTCTCTCTGGTCTCTCTCTCTGGTCTCTCTCTGGTCTTTCTCTGGTCTCTCCATGGTCTCTCTCTGGTCTCTCTCTGGTCTTTGGTCTCTCTCTGGTCTCTCTCTGGTCTCTCTCTGGTCTCTCTCTGGTCTTTGGTCTCTCTCTGGTCTCTCTCTGGTCTCTCTCTGGTCTTTGGTCTCTCTCTGGTCTCTGGTCTTTGGTCTCTCTCTGGTCTTTGGTCTCTCTCTGGTCTCTGGTCTCTCTGGTCTCTCTCTGGTCTCTCTCTGGTCTCTCTCTGGTCTCTCTCTGGTCTCTCTCTGGTCTCTCTGGTCTCTCTCTGGTCTCTCTCTGGTCTCTCTCTGGTCTCTCTCTGGTCTCTGGTCTCTCTCTGGTCTCTCTCTCTGGTCTCTCTCTGGTCTCTCTGGTCTCTCCATGGTCTCTCTCTGGTCTCTCTCTGGTCTTTGGTCTCTCTCTGGTCTCTCTCTGGTCTCTCTCTGGTCTCTCTCTGGTCTCTCTCTGGTCTCTCTCTGGTCTCTCTCTGGTCTTTCTCTGGTCTCTCTCTGGTCTCTCTCTGGTCTCACTCTGGTCTCTCTCTGGTCTCTCTCTGGTCTCTCTCTGGTCTCTCTCGCTGGTCTCTCTCTGGTCTCACTCTGGTCTCTCTCTCTGGTCTGTCTCTGGTCTCTCTCTCTGGTCTCTCTCTGGTCTCTCTCTGGTCTCTCTCTGGTCTCTCTCTGGTCTTTCTCTGGTCTCTCTCTGGTCTCTCTCTGGTCTCACTCTGGTCTCTCGCTGGTCTCTCTCTGGTCTCACTCTGGTCTCGCTCTCTGGTCTGTCTCTGGTCTCTCTCTCTGGTCTCTCTCTGGTCTCTCTCTGGTCTCTGGTCTCTCTCTGGTCTCTCTCGCTGGTCTCTCTCTGGTCTCTCTCGCTGGTCTCTCTCTGGTCTCTCTCTGGTCTCTCTCTGGTCTCTCTCTGGTCTTTCTCTGGTCTCTCTCTGGTCTCTCTCTGGTCTCTCTCTGGTTTCTCTCTGGTCTCTCTCTGGTCTCTGGTCTCTCTCTGGTCTCTCTCTCTGGTTTCTCTCTGGTCTCTCTCTGGTCTCTCTCTGGTCTCTCTCTGGTCTCTCTCTCTGGTCTCTCTCTGGTCTTTCTCTGGTCTCTCCATGGTCTCTCTCTGGTCTCTCTCTGGTCTTTGGTCTCTCTCTGGTCTCTCTCTGGTCTCTCTCTGGTCTCTCTCTGGTCTCTCTCTGGTCTTTGGTCTCTCTCTGGTCTCTCTCTGGTCTCTCTCTGGTCTTTGGTCTCTCTCTGGTCTCTGGTCTTTGGTCTCTCTCTGGTCTTTGGTCTCTCTCTGGTCTCTGGTCTCTCTGGTCTCTCTCTGGTCTCTCTCTGGTCTCTCTCTGGTCTCTCTCTGGTCTCTCTCTGGTCTCCCTGGTCTCTCTGGTCTCAGTACAGTGCTATAGTGACATTAACTAGCATAAACCAGTAACACACCGTGTGTGTTTTTAAACTATGTGTTTTTAAAGACCATGTGAGTTTGAAAGCAGAGCGTTCAGGCAGAAGGGGCGGGGACCTTACTTTGAACCATGAATGGCCCCGGGACCAGCTGTGAGCGTGTGAATGAGTCTCACCTGGTCCCTGCTGAAGAGGCCACGTTTACAGTCTCTCACCTCAGG